TATTTGTGGTAAATCAACAGTATATCAGGAATATGATATACAGTCGACTCTCGATAATTTGTACCCCGCTAAACCGAAAATATTCTATTCCCTTGAAAGAAATTCGTTGTCAATAATTTTCGATGATTTAAATTTTTGTGTAAATCGAAAAAAAAAAAAAAAAAAAAAAAATCGGATCCCCCTGCCATTTTGAATGATCGGGATTCTACTGCATTTACATTTGATATTACAAAAGGTATTCTAATTGAATATATTTTTTGCATGCATATATTTCTCTCTCTGTCTCTATCATATGCTATTCATATAGTTAGCACTTTATTAAAAAGTTATATGATAGCACTTCTCTCGCATACTGCAATCCTCGCCAGCAACAAGAGAAAATTATCTTGATTTTGGTTTGGGGTCAGCCGTCCAGTTGTGTAGAGGCACACGCAGCCAACTAATGAAATTTTCAACATTTCTCATGTGGTAATCATAAAATGCTTTCGCCCTCTGCTCGGCATCTGCAACAAGCAGAAGCAGAAGCTCGAGTCGAGCTTAAAGGCGCTTCAAGTACATCCACAAGTGGAAAGGCAACTGCTTGCAGGCGCAACGTTGCGTATGATTGTCAAGTTGCGAGCAACTTCTATTTTGTGTGCTTGCAACGAGTTAAGCAGCTTGCAACTTTTCTGCCTTGCATTTGATGCAAAAGTGAGCGCAAAAAGTGCTTGTGACTAGGTGCAAACATTTGCAGTTTGTAGTCGACAACTCGTTAAAAGTTGCTCGAGCCAGAGTAGCCCGGACACTGAGTTACGCACACGCCAGCCACGCCCATCAATCGCAAAGTGTTGCTAAAAAGTTTGGCATAAATAATGCGCGTCTCAATATTAACAAGCGAAAACTTTGCCGCACTTCAATGAGCAAAGTGTCATGCCAACAGACGAGCCCCAGTCGGTGCGTCCCCCACTGCCTCTGCAGCCACGCCCACCTTGTTATAGTGCTTTCGGTTGCTACTTTCAAGTTGTCAACAACACATTGATGTTGGCATCCCTAGCACTTTTGGTATGCCCCCGAATATAATCACAAATATATTTTTGCGGCCACAGCCAAATGTCAAAATAATTTCCAACTCCGAAAAGCCTCGCAGCTGTTGTTGTTGCTCAGCTGAATATTGTTTGCTGTTGTTGCTGCTGTTGTCTTGGTCGTCGCTGTTGTTGCTGCTGTTGTTGTTATTTTTGTTGGTGTTTATTACGTTTCAAAAGCCATGTCATGGCTGTGGATTGCCACAGGCAGTCGTCTTTCATATCCGTTGTGAGGCTTCCGGGCATCTAGGCAAATTGATTTGCTGCTTTGAAAAACTCTAGCTCCGGGACCAGCACCAGCACGGGCTCACTTTCGTACGGACTTGATACGCAATGTTAATTAAGTGCTAGTTTAAAGGCTTCAACTGTGTGAAATTAACTGCGCCACATGTATTATTTATCTGGCAGCTCATTAAATTTCTATAAGGTGAGCGAGCTCAAGGACGAGCTCCACTAACCCGAATAGAACGATATTCAGTGGGGATTTGATATGACTGCGCCACTTCATTAAGTGGGTGTGTGTTAACTGAGCAAACACGCGTGCCCCGCCCCAGCGCCCCGACTCATTCACTCATTCACCACTCCTTCTATATGCCTAGATGAAAGCTGACAAAATGTGTCATAATGAAGTGCATAAATTTGCACAGCATTTCTATGGCAAAGCCTTCTACCTAATGAGACAGCATCAGATGGCGAAAGACATATAGCAAAAAAGTAGGGGCAGTACTCTTGTATTGAAAATGTTGATATGCGTGTGTGCGTGTGTGGGAGAAAGCGTAGTGTGGAGAATTGAAGAGAACCGGAGATAAGAGATGCAGGTACAGACATTAGTATCAGATCATAATAGGGAATCAGAAGAATATTGTAAGACAAGAGGAGAAGCAGAAATCCTTCAGCTCATATTATTCCATGAATATGTCGTTCTCGACATGCGTGTTGCTCTAATTATAAGTACTTAATGCTTGTGGGTAAGGTTTAAAGTCTATGCTCAAAGTTAAACTTGACTAGCAGCATCAGCAGCAGCTTGATGCTGTCTCTTTTTTTTGGCTTAGACGCACGTACTTTGTAGTTGTTCTTGTTGTGCTTGTTGTGCCCCCACGAAATCGAAGCTATAAAAGTAATTAAGATAACGACTTTTCTACTGTTCGCATTCTGTTTGTTGTTTTCTTTGCTTCTTTTTATCCGCTCTCCGTCTAGTGTCGATATGTATCGTGTATATTTACTTTATAGCCCAGAGTTTTACAATATTTTCTCACTCTCGGCTTCGGTCCGGGTGCCGTTTGTCGACTTCCTGTTGTTTGTGCAATTTTCTTGAAATTTCATTTCTTAACTTCTGCCAAAGGCCTTTGAGAGACGGCGCTCCCTCTATGGGAAACTGTAAATCATATGAGTGATGCGGATGGCTGCTGGGCATGTGGGCGGGATGCTCTTTCTGCTGCTTTAGTTTTTGTTGTTGTAGTTGGGATTGCCTGTGGGGACAGTTGGGGTGGCATTCTTGCCTCCTCTGTTTGGGGCCACAACTTGACGGCTGTTGCAACGTTTTTCTAATTGCTTGTCTGGCTATGAGTTCGTTGGCCATTTTGAGCTAGCTTCAGAAAGTGTGGGGAGTATATCGATTAATTAACGGCATTAAAAGCTAAAAGTTTTACGGGAATGTCCCAGTCCAGGCACATATGTATGTGGCTGGATTTTTTATTTATTCGTCTATTTGGCTCCGTTTTAATCTTTTGGTGAGCTCAGGAAACGGATAATTAATATGAAAGAGATACTTTTCGATGCAGGCGAAATTTGAGTCTTTTATTTCAAGAAAAAAAAAAAAAGGTTGAGAAGAGAGAAGAGAGAGGGAAAAGCATTCAGGCAACATAAAAATTAATTGAGTCTTGTTGTGAAATAATAATAATGAGACAGGGTTTATATTTTATATACCAGATTAAAGCATAATTAATAAACGGCATGATGTTACAGAGGAAAAACCTTAGTATTGCTTCAAAAGCAAGATGGGAGTAAGATATATAAAAGTATGCTTAATAATATGAATTGCGCATGCCACGTAGTATTACATCTGAAACTATATATACAATTGTAAATCAAATCGGTTCCAATCTTAATTCGATGCGCTGTGCGAATTTGCTGATATATGTATTTTGCTCGATATAATTGGATCATATTAACGCAATTGATGCTTAAAATAAATGAAGCCTTTAAGCCGCTCTGGCTGCCAGCTAAAGCTTACCGAATCCTCGCTGCATTTTACTGTCTTTCATCAATTTCATTTTAGTTGCTCATTCAGCCAGCCGCAACTGTTGCCGACATCCTTCCGTTCTGCCGGTGACCCAGTTGGGCAGGAGGCGCCTTTATGTTGTTAAGGATGCGCTGCATTTAATATGCATGCTGGCTAAATGCCAACTGATGCTGTATATATATATATATATTTGTATGTGTGAGTGTGTGTGTTTGTGTGCGTGTATATCCTTACCCGTAATTGGCAATTCATGCAGGAAACAGGCCATTATGCCGCTGTTAACTTATTAGTTGGCATGAGTAAG